ATCCTTGGCTGCTTTGCGATGACGGATGCTCATGCTAGGCATTCAGGGGTACTGGTTTGCTTCTCTCATTTCTTCCCCTACTTCATAAGCCTAGCTATGATTGTTGAAAACCTTGGTAAACCTACGCACACTTATATATTAATAATATTAAGCTGGAGGAATAATTCGTATCCTTATAGCTTTAAATCATAACATGCACTGCAAACGCAATTGGCCTTTGCTAATAGTCAGAGCGGTGGTACGCTCGTGTGAGCTTTCTCGTACCGAATTGCACATTGAATTGAAATTGAATGGGGACTCAGGTGCTCATGTATTCCATGAGGAATCCTCACGAAATAGAAGTTCAGGTATGCAATTATTGCCAAATGCCAGGGATAGATCCGAGAGATAAAGAATAAGCTTCGAATAAGCTTTTGTTTGTCACTTGCAGGTGAATCTTACGGGGCATAAAGCAGGGGCCGATAGGCAGCTGAGAGCCCGCTACTGCAGGGCAATAAATCTAGAAGTGGGTGTTTATTCCAGGGCTGCTCCCGAATACCGGGGCTCTCCACTCTGGGCTATCCACTCTTGTCTTAATGCTCACGGGCATTTCCGTCTGAATTCTCTCCATCTTCTCCATTTGACCGAACTACCTTATCAAGCATTAATCCTCAATTGCTTAGCTCGCCGACGTTAAACCGGGAGGGAGAGATAACTACCCTGCTATCCCAACCATCAAAGGCTTTGATAACAAACTCCTTTGAATAATGTTACAGCCAAACCAATCACGTCACAGTTGCAACGTAAGCGCTTGGGACGAATGTCTCATCTGGTCTAGGACTTCGACTCCGATCAAGAGAATTCGAGAACTCAATCATCATCCCTGATCCTAGGTAGCACCTGAGAGGCACCTCTAAAATCGATTATCTCGTACAGATCTTCACTCCACAATTCGAGACGCTGACCGCTCAGCCAGATGTGCGTGTGTAGCTCTTACACACCTGGGCTCGAGCTTGGCGCGTGCTTCGTGCTTATGAGCGTACAAGGCGATTATTTGAGTCGAAATCTAACCTAGCAGCCCTAGTAGTGAATATACCTGGCCAAGGCTTGAATCAAACTTTCTCCTCTGATGCACGTACAGCTCACGAAAGTCTTCTATTATTGCCCGCCATGCGGGTAATCCCTTTCTTCGTCAGACCGAATCTCTTTTCTGTCCACAGTACTAGTTTGCTTGCTCGTGCGAGAGCTATGACCGTTAAGACACCGAGCTGCTATCTGAGTTGTCTTGCTACCTGATCAGAACGTGTTCCGACTTTCAGATCGGATCAACCCTTACATGAGTCCTCTACTATCACTATTGCCGCTTGCTTCGTTCGAGTTATTTCGATAGGTCTATCTCGTCGACTATTAGCTGATCGTTGAAGTTTGCCTCCTCTTCTATAAGCGGACCTCCTGCTATAAGAAATATCTAATCTCTTTTACCGCATTTGCTGGTAACTAGAGGCCGTGTGCTCCCGCCCTCCTGGGATATTAGGGATGTGTATACTGGATTCAGAGGGGAAGCACACAACCTTTTTGGCCAATGTGACATGATTCGACGTACAATAGTCATTGGAAAACCTCGGTTTGAATAGATACCACTTCTTACCCCCCGGACTTAGCCCCAATCCGGATCGCAAGCCACGCGTTGCAGATCCCGCACCCTGTCGAATTACTTATCTGTGCCATCCGACCAATAGCATTCTCCGGCATATCACACTCTGACTACTAGGCTTGACCTAGCTTCACCTTTAGATAGGTACACAACCTCCTGCAAGCCTCGTTGCATCTTGGATCCTTTTTCTTGTAAATTGGCCTTCTTTTGTATCACGGTGGCGTATTCTAGTTCCTGTCTATAAACGCCGTTTCATCTCACTCCCTCTTTCCGCTTCAAGTCGGCGTCCTCCGACCTGTCTTGATCGTCGCGATCCATCTCCCACGTGGCGGAGCTGCCCTAAACAAGGCGAGGAATTGACGACACAGCTTCAGCTACTTAAAACATGTAATCAAGCATTCCCGCAAAACCTTAAGTGGTCGAATCGTACCATCTCGGCATCGGCTAACCACAAGACAAGATTAAGTTACGGCTGGCATCTCATCCGATTTATCGCTCATACTCAAAAGATTTTTGTTTTTGTTTTTGGTTTTTTGGTTTTTGAAACTTTACCTACAGATGTTCAAGAACAAGATGTCAGACTCGGGTGGTAGCTCCGAGCTGGAGAGCGGCTTGAGCGCGCAAAGAGAGAAGCACCCGGCGACCGATTATGGCTCCGGCTACATCAGCGACGGCAATGCCGTCCATGCGCAGCAGTTTGTATCGGGCGAATCCATGTATGCTAAGCTTCAGCGGTTCGCTGCCAAGTTCAACATAGAGCAGAGAGGCATTGAGCGCGTGCCCAGCGACGAGAGAACAGACTCGAGCATATTCCAAATCGGAACTTTGGTGAGATTGGCATTTCATCTTTCATTCATTATAGTGTAAATGCTAACGTTATCCAGTGGTTCTCTGCGAATATGGTCGTCTCGTCCTTTGCGATTGGTGCTCTCGCGCTGCCGGTCTTTGACCTTGGGTTCGTGGATAGCGCTTTGACGATCATATTCCTCAATATTCTGGGAATTATGCCCGTGTGTTTCTTCTCAACCTTCGGACCACGCTTCGGTCTGCGCCAAATGGTGCTATCACGCTTCTACTTTGGCTTTTATGGTGTCAAACTGAGTAAGCATACCTAACCCAGCCGAACACGTTCATTTTCCTGTCATAACTGCCTTATATATATACCAAGTCTTCGCTCTAACTATCCACCGCTTCACAGTTGCCATATTCAACATATTAGCCTGCCTTGGGTGGTCTTCCGTCAACGTCATTGTCGGCGCCCAGTTCTTTCACGCTGTAAATTCAGACGTTCCCGGTTGGGCTGGCATTCTAGTAATAGCTGTCGCAACCCTTGCAATCTGTACATTTGGCTATCGAGTAGTACATATTTACGAGAAGTGGTCATGGATTCCGATATTCGTCATATTCATGATTGTGTTGGGCACATTTGCCCACTCAGGCGAATTCGACAACTTGCTGCCCCTCGCAACTGGACCATCGGAGGCCGGCAGTATCCTTTCTTTTGCCGCGTCTGTGTTTGGATTCGCGACGGGCTGGACCTCATATGCAGCGGATTATACAGTGTACCAACCCGTCAACAGCTCGCGGAGGTCCATTTTCTTTGTGACGTTTCTCGGCCTTTTCGTTTCGTTGTGCTTCACCGAGCTGCTTGGACTAGCGGTCGCCACCGCCATGGCTTCCAACGAAGCGTACCTCAACTCCTACAACGACGCTCACATTGGCGGCATGCTGGCACAGGTCCTCGTACCTAAGCTCGGCCACTTTGGCGAGTTCTGCCTCGTGATCTTGGGTCTATCCATCATCGGCAATAACTGTCCGAACATCTACTCCGTCTCTCTGTCCTTGCAAGTCCTCTCGGAGAAGACTCGTCGCGTGCCGCGTTTCATCTGGACCCTGGTCGCCACCGCAGTGTACATCGCCATCTCTATCCCGGGCTACGATAACTTCGAATCCGCGCTCGAGAGCTTCATGTTGTGCATCGGATACTGGCTCGCCATCTACGAAGGAGTCTCCCTTACTGAGCACTTTGTCTTCCGCCGCTCTTCGTTCTTGAACTATACCCCTGAGGACTATTGCGAACCTCGCCGCCTACCCCCCGGATTCGCCGCCATGACTGCATTCTGTTTTGGTGTTGCTGGAGCGGTCCTTGGCATGTCACAGACTTGGTTCGTGGGCCCCATCGGCCTGCTTTGTGGTACGGCCCCTTTTGGTGGTGATGTAGGGTTCGAGCTCGCGTTTTGTTTCACGGCGGTTACTTATCTTATACTAAGAACGGTGGAGAAGAGCTATTTCCGGAGATAGGAAGATAAGGGGTATAATGTGGCGGTGGTAGAAGCTGTAAATAAGGCATTTGGTTATGGGCAAGTCCCCTTGGCAGCGATGTGCGGTTGTTGCGATATACGTTATGGTTAGTTGTTTGTATGGATTTGTTCGATAGTAGGCACACGAGAATGATAGAATACGCAATGAAATATCGTCTCTCGCTACCGGTGATGTTTATCATCTCCTTCCTTCTCTTCTCTAACTCCTCTCCTTTCTCCTTTTCTTTCTTTCTTCCCCCTGCAGAGAAGCTAAGTGATATGCACTGCTCTTCATCCACCTCACCTTGTTCCACTTTCTACCTTCAGGATCCCCAATGGAACATAGAGCATCCACTTATCTTCTTCGTCGCTGTGTCTTTTTCTTGCTCGTTGGTGCCCATTGTCTCTTTCATAGCTAAGACTATATCTTACAGAATACTCTTCGGCATTGATTCGCCAGCTGAATCTCGAATCTAAACATTGACATGAGGCGTATCGTTGGTCGATGGGAAGAGAGAGGACCGACTATGAGAACAAGGAGGCCATTGCAATGCATTAGGATGTCCAACGACCAAAGTCCTTCATGCACAAATACCTCTACTCTCGTTACCACTTGCCGAGACGAATCCTAGATCCAGTGTCGCGCCCTTCCTAACTTATGCACCTTGAATTGAGCAAACCTAGGGAAAGTTCACTGGAGCTGTCACCGCTCCCGAGAGGGAAGGCACTTTGTCAGAGCATGGTAGAAATCGAAGCTAAATTGAGAGTTGCCTACAAACAAGGTAGGAGCTTCTCAATAGGAGCTAGAGGAAATAGCGTAGGTAGTAGCAACCATGAGGATTGCAGGTAGAAAACAGAGCGCGTTACCGTTTTGAAGACGACGGTATGCGTCCTCGTTCCTTCCTTTTTTTTACACAGTGGAAGAGCCAGGTAGACGTCAATTGCTCTTTCTACCTTAGGCGCCTACCTATACCCACGCTATGACTAATTCCATTACACACGGAAGTTTGCCTCAAATATTCAAGCTAAACATAAAAATCATACATCAAATGAATGCAGCATCTAAAGGCCCTGTGGCGCAACGGCAGCGCGTTCCACTCCAGATGGAAAGGTTATCCGTTCAAATCGGGTCGGGGTCAAGAATTAAAAATTTTGCGTGTTTTTATTTTTCGATGCATTATTTTTACCCAAACTCTTTTAGCTTTGCTTTAATAACGGTGAAGCATAATTTAAAGTTAGTTATTTGAATGATCCTAAGTGATAAAGCAGGTGCCGTATTTAGGTGTACTATAATAACGCCTTTAACCTCATTATGCACCGATCACGAGCGGCTTATTGAACGACCCTTACCTAAATTCGGGATTCAATAGTACCGAATATAGAGGAGGAAAACATATGAAAATGAACGACATATCTATCTTATTTGAGGGTATTCTCCGAGTTACTTTTCGTGATCTCAATAGGCAAGACTTAGCACAAAACCTTGAGGTTAGGCTAATATGATACACATGCATCTTCGAGGGACAATGGTAACTGAAATCTACTAAAGCAGATTGTACGGAATTCGGCAATTCCTGGAGAAAGCGTCGCTCATAAGGCATAAACATCAGGATACCTCTAATATATTAATTCGGGTATGAGGTAGCTTGCTAAGCCCTCTTTCCCAACGCCCCTTTAACCCTCCCTACTGACCCTTCACACGTCCAACTCCCAAATCTCAACGCCAACACCGACAACGATGATCTTCATTTTCTTGCATGCTCCTCTTCCATCCGCATGCCCACTTGTGTCAACATCTTCAAAGACATCCAGGTCCCCAGCGTCAGCAACGGAGCTATACCTCTCATCGAGGAGCTGCGCCCTCAGTTGTCCGCTAGGTTGCTGCCACCCAACCAAGCGCCAGACTTTGACGCGCTGGTCATTACTCGAGGTGACTACGACTACAGCTCTGCTGTCATTCTCAAGACGCGCGATGGCTATGCCTGTTATGGCTGCTGCATGTGCAGAGCGTATGATATATTTGCCCTTGATTGCGATTGCAGATGTATCCTGGGAGGAGAAGGAAACATGCATAAGACCCAGCGCATTGTCATCGCCACCTGCGACGACTATATATTCTAATGTGTTTCCGTTGGCGGGGGCAACTTGACGCACGTCGAGGGATTTGATGGTGTTCTGGTGCAATTTCGCAACGACGGGTAAAATCTCGGTTTTGGCTGGGGTTTGGCCATCTGCTTCTGGTGCCTGCTCTGTGCTGGGATAAATAGCTATATGCCCATCCGTAGCCGCAGTCAAGATATGAGTTCTACCAAGATGTCGAATTTGCGTGAGACACGCTCCGGTGTATGACGACCGCCCTAGCAGACGGAACCCAGCTTTACAGGTATAAGCGTACGTCTGCCACGTCGAGTTCGACAGCGCCATGGAGATACGAAACTCTCCATGTAAAATATCAACATCGAAATCCGTGATGCGCGCATCGCCCACCTCGGTGCGGTCCGGGAACACGGCCTCGCACACGACAGCGAGCCCAGTAAAATCATCGCTTTCGAGTTGGTTAATCTTCCACACGAAGAACTCCTCGTTGCCGGCGCTGCTGAAGAGGTATTCGTTCTTGTACCACTTCAGGGCCTGGATGCCGGCGGCGTGCTTCTCTAGAGCCGCGACACAATGCAGCCTTGTCCGGTCATTGCTGTCGTATTCCCATATCCGTACCACGGTGTCCTCGGCGGCCGTTGCGATGTAACGCCCAGAAACGCTCACCGCCTTAATTTCACGCCCGTGGCCTCCTACTTTGAGCGCCCTGCATGGGTTGGCCGTCTGGGAGAACACTTGCATCTGCCCCGCCTTCGTGAACACGAATCGGAACCCGTCCGGGTGGCTCGCACGTGGCGTCCAGGCATAGCTCCGGGACGAGCCTCCGCAGTCTACCGTGGCGACCTCGTGACGCTGTGTTTCATTCCAGACGATGAAGTTGTGGCTCCGGAATCCGCAAAGGATGAGATCCTTGGCACTGTCACCGTTATCGGAGAGCCATGCCCCTTCAATGGAAGACACAAACGGCGGTAACGCCTCGTGGAGTAGTACAGCGTTGGCTTGGCTATCTATAGTTACGATCTCGTGAATCCTGTACTTGCCATCGCGACACGTGCTCAAGACATAGTTGTGTGATTGGTCACCCCGACTACCAAGCGGGAGTATTGAGGTAATGGCTTCGTTCCGATGGACTTCGATAGTGAGTATGGGGGAATAGTTGCTGTCTTGGCCTTGCGCGAAGACAGCAATGAAGCCCTTTCTCGACCCAATGAGAAGATGACCATGCACGAATGCGGCGGCCGTGACCATGAACCCAGGATCTAAGGCAACTTCAATGTGTTTTGTTGTCAATGTGCTAGGATTAACTTGAATAATAATAGCCTTGTCACTGCGTAGGATGGTAACGAGAAACCGTAAATTCCCATCAGATATCGTAGTGTTACCATTCTGGACAAATTTGTCGCCCTCTGTAACGGGTACTTTGCTGGTACCGGACAAGTAGAGTATTTGTGCTACCTTGCCTTCTACCTTGGTTAGTAATTGAAGAGATTCGCCCCCTGATTTGTCATAGTTGTATATGTCGCCATTAGTAGTGCCGACGAGAGCCATCGGGTTTGCCTCCAAGGTCCCAAGCAAAGCATGTGAGAAGACAATTTGCCCGATCTCGTCTGGAAGAATAAGCTCTTTCCACGTAAGCTCATCCTCAAAAGTGCCGACGAACACTCGGCCCGAATTAGTAGCAGCGAGTAGCCGCCTATCAGATACAAACGTATATCGATTGAAAGCTTCCTTCGCGTTTTTAGGCTTTGTATTTAGCGAGGGTGTAGCTTGACTGCCCGAAGTGTCTTGGGGAGCTGTTGTAGTTTGGAATGATTGTACTACGTCTGCAAGGGACCACGGGACGGCCTTCCTTCCATCCGTAGTGTTGTTGGTCGGCAATAGACCATTGCCACTCGACTTTCTCAATGCAAGGTGCGAGGTGCCAGCCCCTATTAGGGCAACCTTCCCATCAGCACCGCCAGTCGCGATTATGAGACCGTCATTTGGATTAGAGGCCAATGCATGGGACCATATATGCTTTCCGCTGTGATTGGAGAAAGTCGACTGGTGCGTCAATTCGGCCGCGGGCTTTGTGGAAGGAGCATCAGGGGCATCAGATGTAACTGGCCGTGGGTCCAAAGAGAGATTCCATTTTTGAGCAGTGGCATCTTCACCAAATGAATAAATCTCAACTATGTTAGAGGTCTGGCATAACAGCTGGTCCTGCGGGAACTCGACCTCCCATATCCTCGACGCATGACCCATGGCCGTTGCCACGCATCTCGTCGAAGAGTCATCGTGTTCCGTGGCCTCTGAATTGTTCCCGAATCCAGTCTCCCGCGCGTTCGAGATACCGTTCTCGTACCCCTGGCCTAGATGTTCGGGCTTCTCACGTCTTTCAGTGATGTCCCAGACTCGGATGGTCCTATCGTCACTGCAACTCGCTAATAATCTTAACGTCTCTCCGGTAGAGGTATAGATTTCAGGAGAGATATGGACGCCGAATATCGAACCTTCGTGGCCAGTAAATACGAAGAGAACCTCGCAACTTGGATCCTGCTTCTCGGCGCCGAGGTGACATCTCCAGAAGAGAATCTCGCCAAAAACCGTGCCGGCGGCTACAAGCACACAGTCCTTAGACACCCAGAAGAAGTTGCCCGAATAGAGAATCGGCCTCGACGGGGATTGGACGCCGCCGAAAACGAGGGAACCCCGGGCCGGATCCACGTGGGCCTGTATGACTTCATTGTGCGCGGTGAGTAGAACGATGCGGCCATCTCCAAAGGGCGAAATTCTCCCATCGAACACCCAATCCGGCGCTCTGGTCTCGGCGGTAGCACCTTTGGGCAAACTTTGGTTGTCATTTTGACCGGAGATTAGCCCCTCGATCGTATCTCCAGACAACACTTTGACAGAGTGCCCACCCCAGACAAGGATCTGACGCTGCTGCTGCTGGGCTACGTCGCCCGGAGGGACGGCGATGCCTTGGATAGACTGGGCCCGGAACACGGATAACTGACCACAGACGCGTGAAGTCTGGACATGGTAGATCTTGATATCTGTATCTTCCCCAGCTAATAAGTATTGCTGTCCATCGTTCGATGATTTGTAGAAGGCCAAAGCCGTAATGGGGTTCAGCACATATTCCCTACTGAGGTGTCCCAGAGTAGCCGGCTGCATGAGAAGTCAGTCCGAGCACGTATACATCTCTTCCTGTGGATTAGGTATTTAGGTAGGTATTTTGTGTGGTAAGTTCCACGGTCTGGCGGGGTTCGTGGGGTACCGAAATTTCAAATTTCTTCAATTTGAGCAAGAGTGACACTTACCTCGCGAGACATCGGAAATAGCTACTCGGAGATTTTGCCATGTGGCTGCACAACAAGAAAATTTAAGTTGAAGCCAGCGTCTTTGCCGTCCTTTGCCCAATATTACAATATTACATGTACCTCGTTAGATGTTACTGTAAGTTTAGAAAGCTTCTAGAAAATTTCTACCGTTTAACAAATGCACGTGATTGGTTCATTCTTATTGCGACGAGTCCTGGACCTAGACCTTTTCCCAATTCTATTTCAAACCTCATTCAAAACTGAACTTCACTGGGGGCAATTGAACGCACATATTGTTGAATGCAATTATTCATCTCAATTCATTATGTCCGAATAGAATAGTGTCATGAAAACCTGGGTATTTCCTTTGCATAGGAAATGCTATCCATCTATACTCTCTTCCATGCCCCTAAGAAGCAACTCGTTCAACCAGTCTTGTCATTCCCCAACCTGAACGCCGGCATAATGCAAGATTCGATAACCTCGTGACTATCTCGCACCAAATCAACTCGCCACCTTTTCTTGATCGACAATCGATCTGCGCTTAACGAGCGTGAGAGTAGGGCTCGTAGGCCATGTCCGAGCGGGCTCCACCACGCTGCGGACCACCGAACTGGTTGTTGTAGCCGGAGTTGCGGTTGGCGGCGGGCTCACCCAGCGGGGTGTAGGCACCGGGGAGGAACTTCTCAGCCTCAGAGCCGTTTCGCGCATGCTTGTTGTACGGGCGGTGCTCGGGC